AACCAAAAGAGATTGAGCCGATTGCTCTTGATTTTTATCCGCGTTTTTAAACAAATTTTTTGTGGTACAACGATTTTTTATAATTATTCTATCGATTGTTGTCCTTGCACTTGTGTAAATGTTAATAGAAACATATTTACACTCTGCCAAATGCAGATATTCTTTAGTAACATTTTCTGAATTTTCTAAATTTCGTAACGACTTATTGACCGATTGCCATAACTTTTCTAGCTTGCTCTTCCTTTCCTCTAATATACTAATATCTAAATAGTCACCTTTTAGTGCACCGATTTGTGCACCAAATTCTGTCAGAGCGTCAGATGCTTTTATGAAAATTTGTAGAGGAGAGGAGGCCATAATTATAGCAAGAAACACCGAACCAAATTGGGAGAAAATAGAGAAATAAATAAAATAACAATTTTATTTATATTTATTTAATTAGTCAAAATGAAATTTCAAAAGTACGAAAACAACAACAAAAATTAAATACACTATAGTATTTATATTATTTTAACTTTAATAATAACATTAATTTTACACTCAATACCCACTACTATAACAAATAGAGGTGACCGACCAACGTAGTGTAGCTACTCAACCTAAACGGAAACGACAGAAAGAGGAATACACAAAAATATTCTTCCTTCGTTTGTTATGTTCGTTCACTGATCTAACAAAGCACAAACAACAAGTGGTGATCAGAGAACAACGACAAAACATGCAGTGATGTTGGTGGATGTTCAAACGGTGTTGTTGTTGTTTGCGACAAACAAAACAGAAAATGAATTTGACTGTTGTTACAACGAGAAAAAGAGAATAAATGTAACAACAACAATATGCAATATTAAAGCGGACAGACCAAACAAAAAGAATTATATTGCAATCTTTGTTTTATGCGTAAAGCACACCAAACTAAGAGCTAGCAACAACAATACCTGACGAAGGTTTTATTGGTATCAACGAAATATTGAATGTTTTGTTGTTTTAAATGAACCAAAACAAAAAGAAAATTAGCAAACGATTTTTGCGACAATTTTATTTTTGAGTTTTGTTTTGATTTTGATGCTGCCGAATACAAGCATCCAAATTAGAAGCCGACGATTGGCGGGAAACAAAACAAAAGGGAAAGAAGTGACGTTGTAAAACGACCTTTGTACCCAAACAAAACCGATTGTTTTGTTGGTGTCGCGGTAATTTAATAACGCGAGCTCACTTAAAAACAACACTGCACTATACGTACCTTGTAATGCAGGAGTAATAGACTGTACATTTATGCAGGATCCAAGTATCCATACGCAAGCGATGATCCAAATCTGGCTCGAATTGACCAATGTTTAGCTCAGAGGGGCTCCGCCGATGGGAGAGAAACGCCGAATGCGTCGAGCAGTGGACCGTAGGGGGGAAATATAAAAAATAAAATAAGAGTTTTTCTTATTATAAGTCAACTATTTATTGCTAGTTTGGTTGGTGGGTAACAATATTACGTTTGGCAACAATATGCCTCTCTATGCACAACGATATGTGCTGCAAACGATATTGCGGGTGTTGTCTGTCCGAATGACAGCGAAATACTACTTGATGTCTAAAGGAGGCGGCATAACAAGTGACAGCTAATTACTCGTTAAAATGTCAAAGGCGCTAGCACAAGGTTGCAATAAACCGTAGCGCGTGCATTTTAACGAATAATTAAGGACCAAACCAGGGGTCAATAAAAAGCAATATTTAATGCAATTCTAAATTAAACATGCCAACCCCCTTGAAACATCAAAGCATGTTTCAACACAATTAAACTTAATCTAATTTAGTTCCGATGGTAGGTACTGGATGCATAGTGCAGCGTGAGCTTTTTATTCGAACAAAATGTAGGGAATGGAAACGCAAATGAATCTGCAGTAACAGATTCGGGATCCATCTCCGCTACAACGATAATATGAAGCCGCAGATGAATCTGCAGTAACAGATTCGGACTTCAATCAAGCATATTATTACACGAAATGTAATATTTTGAAGCCGCAGATGAACCTGCAGTTACAGATTCGGACTTCAATCGAGCTACGTGTTTCCCGAAACGATATTCGCTAGGCCGATTTCATGCGGAGGTCGTTTTACAACATTGTTTACAGATTTTAATTTCCCTTTATGATTTCCATCTGATAAATTGGTTTTTATGAATTTAATCAGGTTCCTCTTCGACATTTTGTTAAGCGATTTCAAACAAACAAATTTAGATTTTGAATTTTCGACTCCAACCCATGTGGAGGATGTACATATTGAGGGACGAAAAACTGGGGCTTCAGCTGACAACAACGATTTTGACGAGCTTGCCTGAGCTTTTGGAGTCAAAACCGGAATCGAACTATTCGGTTTTAATGACTCGCGATGTAATAACGTGTGATGACGTTTACCACATTTCGAACAACTATTTTTACTAGTACAATTTACTAGTTTATGTCCCTTTATGGATCGATTGTTCGATAAAATGACAAGAACGAAATTAAAAAAAAATGTTCATTTCTAACATCTGTTCAAATTGTCGCCATGTCATGCAATTATTCAACAGGTTTCCCGCCGACTCTTTCGGTCCTACGTTCATCCATCCACCCGGCTGGCTGGCAATTATTTCATAAAAGTTCTCCAAGTGATCTGCCTGCTGATGAAAACAAAACAAGATTTGCAACTTGCCAGCAGAGCAAGAGCAACAATAAAAGATTGCAATTCTTCGTTGTGGTTGGTTGTTGGTTGGCGGTGTGTCGCTGGCAGATAATAGAGGAAATCGCAAAAATCAAATCACTGTTTGCAATATTTGACGTCAAGTGTAAGTCTCCCTATGTACCCACATACAATAATTTTTAATGCAAACTGTCTGCGGGCCATTTGGGCTGTTTACAACTCATGGTGAAAAACAGTTTTTAATGGTTATTACGGCTAACTCTCCTGGGATAATGCCAACGCAAGGCGCATTTATTATTGGGAACAAATTTCAGCAGATATTGCAAAAAAACCTCACAATTCCCCAAAGATTTGTTCAACAAATTAAAACGTAAAGCAAACATCAAAAAAGTAGCATCAGCAGCAGCAAAGTAAAGCATCATGTCCTCTTTGTCGAGAGAAATGCCATCGACTTAATTTTTGTTCAAAATTTAAGAATTTGTCCCCCGCAAATAGATTTGCATTTGTAAAGCGCCACGACCATTGCATAAATTGTTTGGCAAAGGGACATGATTTTCCAATTGAAGGGGAAGATGAACATTTGAAATGAGAATTCCTAGCAGTATTAACCGAATTTGAATTAGGCGAAGGAATCGATTTGTCGCTATAATTTTCCAAACACACAAGCGTGTTTATCCTTTCTGAAAGAAAGGTGTCTAAATCTTTCCACGAAGAAAGCCAATTTGTTTTTGATACCTTGTTCCCAAAGCAGTTGCGTTTCTTTAGGTAAACGTTGTAGGCAAAGAAACACCAGTATCGGATCCCATTGATCTTTGGGAACGTTGTAGGTCGACATTGAAAATATGCAACTGTTTTTTCCCCGTCGGATCTCTTTTAGACCCGATGCAGTTTCTTTGAGAAGAATTGGAAGATTATGCAACGACTTTAGTTGATGATGAACCAATAATCGAATATTGTTGTATTCATCATTTAATGCTTTCCATGCGAAAGCAAAACCACGGTTAGTTAGAGGAAACTGCGAAACGATTTCCCGAGCTTCTCTAGCAGTTTTATTAAGCAAATAGAACATGCGTTCGACATCACTCAAACGAGAGTTGTTTATGTAAATGGCGCTAAACAAATCCCGAAAGGAAGGCCAAGAAGAAAAATCTCCCTCAAAAATATCAATATCAATTGGGGGCAATGCCATATTGTGAACGATATCACAACCAGAAGAAATACTTGCGGCAATATTTTCCTGCGATTCAGGAACCAAAAGAGATTGAGCCGATTGCTCTTGATTTTTATCCGCGTTTTTAAACAAATTTTTTGTGGTACAACGATTTTTTATAATTATTCTATCGATTGTTGTCCTTGCACTTGTGTAAATGTTAATAGAAACATATTTACACTCTGCCAAATGCAGATATTCTTTAGTAACATTTTCTGAATTTTCTAAATTTCGTAACGACTTATTGACCGATTGCCATAACTTTTCTAGCTTGCTCTTCCTTTCCTCTAATATACTAATATCTAAATAGTCACCTTTTAGTGCACCGATTTGTGCACCAAATTCTGTCAGAGCGTCAGATGCTTTTATGAAAATTTGTAGAGGAGAGGAGGCCATAATTATAGCAAGAAACACCGAACCAAATTGGGAGAAAATAGAGAAATAAATAAAATAACAATTTTATTTATATTTATTTAATTAGTCAAAATGAAATTTCAAAAGTACGAAAACAACAACAAAAATTAAATACACTATAGTATTTATATTATTTTAACTTTAATAATAACTTTAATTTTACACTCAATACCCACTACTATAACAAATAGAGGTGACCGACCCACGTAGTGTAGCTACTCAACCTAAACGGACACGACAGAAAGAGGAATACACAAAAATATTCTTCCTTCGTTTGTTATGTTCGTTCACTGATCTAACAAAGCACAAACAACAAGTGGTGATCAGAGAACAACGACAAAACATGCAGTGATGTTGGTGGATGTTCAAACGGTGTTGTTGTTGTTTGCGACAAACAAAACAGAAAATGAATTTGACTGTTGTTACAACGAGAAAAAGAGAATAAATGTAACAACAAAAATATGCAATATTAAAGCGGACAGACCAAACAAAAAGAATTATATTGCAATCTTTGTTTTATGCGTAAAGCACACCAAACTAAGAGCTAGCAACAACAATACCTGACGAAGGTTTTATTGGTATCAACGAAATATTGAATGTTTTGTTGTTTTAAATGAACCAAAACAAAAAGAAAATTAGCAAACGATTTTTGCGACAATTTTATTTTTGAGTTTTGTTTTGATTTTGATGCTGCCGAATACAAGCATCCAAATTAGAAGCCGACGATTGGCGGGAAACAAAACAAAAGGGAAAGAGGTGACGTTGTAAAACGACCTTTGTACCCAAACAAAACCGATTGTTTTGTTGGTGTCGCGGTAATTTAATAACGCGAGCTCACTTAAAAACAACACTGCACTATACGTACCTTGTAATGCAGGAGTAATAGACTGTACATTTATGCAGGATCCAAGTATCCATACGCAAGCGATGATCCAAATCTGGCTCGAATTGACCAATGTTTAGCTCAGAGGGGCTCCGCCGATGGGAGTGAAACGCCGAATGCCTCGAGCAGTGGACCGTAGGGGGGAAATATAAAAAATAAAACAAGACTTTTTCTTATTATAAGTCAACTATTTATTGCTAGTTTGGTTGGTGGGTAACAATATTACCTTTGGCAACAATATGCCTCTCTATGCACAACGATATGTGCTGCAAACGATATTGCGAGTGTTGTCTGTCCGAATGACAGCGAAATACTACTTGATGTCTAAAGGAGGCGGCATAGCAAGTGACAACTAATTACTCGTTAAAATGTCAAAGGCGCTAGCACAAGGTTGCAATAAACCGTAGCGCGTACATTTTAACGAATAATTAAGGACCAAACCAGGGGTCAATAAAAAGCAATATTTAACGCAATTCTAAATTAAACAAGCAATCTTTGATAAACACCACAGTTGCATTCTTCCCTTGAAAATTTTCTTGAAAAATTCTGTCTGTATGACCGAAAATGTTAATTTCGAGCTTGTGCAGCCTCTTCCGACAATTGATCGATTGGAAGCAGTACATTATCTATTATCATTATCTATGATGGTGACTCCATGTAATAGTGATTTATGCATTGATGGAGTCATGGGATGCCAGTCGGATAATTCCACAAACAGTTGCGCGGTGTTTAAGGCATATTCTTTGAATTTTGATGTATTTATTTTGTGTCCACTTGAAGTCGCCTCTAATAAGATTTTAAATGGTTAATGCCTGTTATGTCCGCCACTAATCCTGTGTTTTAAAAAATCTCCTACTCGTATTGCTATCATTGGTATTATCAAAATTGACTTTAGGCATGCCCACCAACAGCACAGTTTCCACGCGGAATCTTTCTTGGATTTCTTTTTTCCTTTCTTCTTCTAATGCTATTTCTTCCTGTGTCCTTTTCTTTCCATATTTCTTCACGGGCAATTTATATGCCAAATGCAGAGTGCTTTCAAAAATACGTATTTCTGCGTGCAATACCGAATTGCCAAACTCAAGAGCACCTTTGGTGGGTAGCACTCTTGTTTTGCTTTCAACAAAAGGTTGTAACAAGGGTAATGCTTCGGGTTAGTTGCCCTTATTATTTCATATTGTCGTCTTGTTCGATCAGCTTCTACGAACATTTTGAGTGCTTGGGACGGGGTCAAAGGAGCAATTGTTTCATTGGTCTTGAAATAGGCTTTTCTATACTTACTAGCCTTTGTTTTTGAACTTCCTATTTCTTTGAGCAATTTTGAGGCATTTCTTTGTCCACTCGTTTGCAATACAACATTAAATACATACAAAAAATTCGTACACATTAAATATGGTACAATTCCTATGTGGACTTGGTCCAAGAAAAGGGCTAGCCTTAAAAAAAAATTCTTAAACAGACAAATCAAAGATTGGAAAACAGAACTCAGTTAATGACATTATGTCACCTAGGTCCCAAAGTATTTATAAACTGTTCTGGATTTATAAAAATTGATACAAGCTCGCTTGGTGATAGTACAGAAGCATATGTGGAGGTTCTTGATGGATCTCGAGTACATCCGGAAAAATATGAATGGGCTCGAAAAATGGCAATTGATGCAATGGAATATGACGACGAAGAATCCAATTCCGCCGGCGCGTTAGAAGAAATTTTAGAAAGCCCCGAAAGACCACAAGATCTCGATCTTGATGCATTTGCTGTAGAGCTCGAACGACAAGGTTTCGGAAACAAGAGCATAACACTATATGATATCAGATCTGAGTTGAATTCATTGTACAAAGACATCAGAATTCCATATCGCTCAGCAAATTCTAAAGAACTGTTCGATATGTTAACTAAAGAAACACCTGAATCGTTTTATGTTGGAAAAATGGTGTTAGCCACGGTTGCAGGGATTTCTCATCGTAAGCCACAAGGAGAACAATTAGACCAAGCAAATCCAGTTCAAAATGATGAGACCGGTAATTGGCAATGTCCTTTTTATTTAAAAGAGGATTTTCTAGAATTATCGGAAGTTTGGAATAATTTCGATGCTGGTGCTTGTCCTGGCCAAGCTACTGGTGTCAAACTTCGTCTCGACAATGGTCTGTCGGGTTTTATACATATTAAAAAATTATCCGATTAACACATTAAAAATCCTGAAGAAAGAGTTCAGTCCGGTCAAGCAATACATGTAAGAATTATCAAAATAGATGTCGATCGTTTTTCAGTTGATTGTTCATCAAAGAGTTCTGATCTAATGGACAAAAATCACGAATGGCGACCAAGGCGAGATCCATTTTATGATTATGAGCAAGAAGAAGTAGACAACTCTAAAGAAAAAGATCAGAAACAAGTTAGAACAAAACAACAATATGTAAAGCGGGTAATTATACATCCTTCTTTTCATAACAAATCTTATGCCGAAGTTGTAAAAATAATGGAAAATATGGATCAGGGCGAAGTATTTGTTCGACCATCGAGTAAAGGTTCAGATCACTTAACTGTAACGTGGAAAGTAAAAAATTATATTTATCAGCACATAGATGTTCGCGAGGAAGGCAAAGAAAACGCCTTCAGTTTAGGCCAAAGGCTATGGATTGGAAACGAAGAGTTTGAAGATTTGGATGAAATTATAGCAAGACATGTTAATCCCATGGCAGCTTGTGCTCGAGAACTACTCACTTATAAATACTATCGTGATACAGGAGGCGGACATAAGGACAAGATGGAAGAGTTATTGAAAGAAGAAAAAACAAAAGACCCCAGAAAAATACACTATTTTATTTCAGCATCCACAAATTATCCTGGAAAATTTTTGCTATCATACTTACCCAAAAACAAAAGCCGACATGAATACATAACTGTAATTCCAGAAGGGTTTCGTTTTAGAGGGAAAATTTTTGATTCACTAAATGGCCTACTTAAATGGTTTAAAGATCATTATTCTGACCCTATTGTGACAAACACTCCAGTGTCCACTTCCCAGCTTAACTCTTTATCAAGAATGAGCAACGCTGGGTATGATACGCCCAGAGTAACTGATTCAAGAACTTCGCAACAAATGTCTCAAAATGTTTCCATGCATACACCACATTTTTCAAGCACACCGGGTTATCATGGTGGATATGTTAACACACCATACACTCCAAGTGGCCAAACTCCATTTATGACTCCTTATACCACTCCCCACTCATCTCAAACTCCTCGATACGGCAGCAATACACCTAGCCCAGGCTCTTCGACTTCACATTTAACCTATGGCAACCAATCACACAATGATCGAAATTCAAAAGACGCTAGGTATGGAAATCTACAACGATTTGACAACAAAAATCACAGAACACAGCGTACGAATGAGAGCTTAGAATGGCAAATAGCTTCAAATTCATGGGCGAGGCGTAAACGAGTGAATCCTGTGATACCACAGAGTAGAGCAGAATCTATCTGACCCGCGAATTTTTGTATGCCGCCACCAAGCATTGATTACTTTCACCCAACGCCTCAGTACGTAGAAGATAATCGAGTCAGGCCTCCCCTAGACTATCAAAGAAGTCCTCGGTCTATTCGAAGTACTCCGCGTACGAATACCTCACCACATTCTATGAATTTAGGCGATTCAACTCCTTTATATGATGAAAACTAACTTGTATCAAATAAAGAAATATACATTTAAAACGTGTACTACTTCTATTTATTTGTATTACAGAATATCCCACTTAATAAAGCCAAAAAAGGTTAAAACGGGGTTTGGCAAACATTGTTATAAATAGAATTATGAAAACAAGCAATAACGGACAATAAATAAATGCGCAACAACAGTTTTGCTAACCCCTCTCAGCGAGGACTAAAAAGTGTTTTATAAATGTTTATAAAACCATATGTAGCACCACAGGTCTGGAGGATAACTTTAATAAAAGCAGAAATATATTTGAAAAAAATGTAATATGTGAACAAAAAGATAAAATGATTTTGAAGACTTATTGTATTATTATCGATACATCTTAAAACCATGACAGTGTGGCTAAGACCATGACTCACATAAATATTCATAAAAACAATCTAAAAATAGGAACAGCCCGAAAGGAAAGATGTATTCTATATAATGGATTATATTAAATGAATGAAAAATGCCGCCATCCTCGGCTTAGCGGTATGCAATCATCAGTCGCATTTTACTTATTAAAAACATTTTGTGATTGGTTAGATTTATTTATTTGCACCAGTGCTGCCAAAAACATAACAAAAAAAATCTTCACTTTCCAAAACCAAAAACCTTCATTTGAATTTTAAAAATCGGCAATGCTGCGGTATATGCAATTTTGAAATTAGCCTTAGAGTGTAACTACTATTAAATATTGGCATCCATGGCTGAAGTTGCACATGACCTTGTAACAATCTAGTTGAGCGGACATGGTATTGAGGTCTTAGACTGCGGCTTATCCCGCCGGAATGTCTAATTTCGATATATAGCACCTTTGGCATATCAATTTAAAAAATACAATTTCCACTAAGTAAGGTTATGATGTTAACCTCGATTGTTTTTTTTTTTACTTCCCATATGACTTTTACAGTCATCCATGGTATTTTCTGAGCCATCAGACTTGTGTGACCCCAAAAGTGACTTACCAATGACTAACAAATATTCAACTCATCTTGCTAAACTTCAAAATATAGTGTTTTTTTAAGAACTATTTAGTTTTTAAATGTATTTAGTGGATATGTTTTATTTTGCTTACATATATTATTTAGAAGTCCATACATTGGTTGTAATTTTGTGTGTAATAATATTTTGTCTTTTTCAAAATTTGTAATTCATATACACATGGGTCTTATGTAATGTTTTTGGGTTAGATCTGGGCCTTATTTCATTTATCTGTTAATTCTTCTGTTTTTTTTTTTTTAATTATCGATTTTTGGGTTTTTGTTTGTCTACCCTAACTTTTGAAAGCAATATTCATATTTAAATGCTTTAGCTCATGCTTTACGTTTTAATTAAATTTCCAAATGCTCCAATTTCATATTAAACTAACCACGAGTAAAGTGCATTATTATTACATGATGATGGAGCTTATGACATATCAGTTTTAATTATGGCAACTAGATCATGGTAGATGGTGCTTACTGATTTATTTTTGATTGTTGTACGTTTGTCGTTTGTATTCTTGATTGATAGCAGTAGCCATAGCACAATAAAATCAAGGTAGGGCTATGATACCATACGATTTTAATTTTTTTCTTGGCTTAATATGTCAACTTTATTTGTTTATGTGTGTGTATTCTTTGTTCAGAAAATATTCAAATTCGAGTGTTTTCAAAATGCTTATTGCAACGTATGCATCTACAGTTTTTGTAGCGAATTAAAGCTTTAGATCTATATATATATATATATATATATATATATATATATATATATATATACAGGGTGAGATGAAAAAAACTACAACCAACTTCAAACTGCTGTCATTTTTAAGCCACTCGTCCGACAGCTTTTATTCCAGTGACAGCTCATTATATAGTTTACAAGCGTACAATTTTGGTGAGAATTTTCCAGAAAAAAAAGTAATTCATAATGGAATTCAAGCCACAAGTGGCTATCGTTAGAACACTCCAGCATTTAAATGTGAATAAATCTTTTGTGTTTCGTACCATCGCTTGTCACTGCGGTAGAAAACAGCAACATCAGCAGAAATAGTTCGAAAAGTAAAGAAGCAACTTGATCGAAACCCGCATCGCAGTGGCCGATAAATGGCTCGTGAGCTGAACATATAGCAATATTCCGTTCGGCAAATATTAAAAAATGAGCTCGGGGTAAAGCCAATGAAATTCCAAAAAGTGCAAGAACTTACACCGCAACCGAAAGAAAATAGACTCAAATGAGCTAAAGAGTTGCTTCGCCTGGCCGAAAGTGGTGAACTGCCGAATTTCTCCGATGAGAAAACATTCGTTGTCCAGCAGTTTGTAAACAAACAAAATGATCGTGTTTACTTGCCAAAGAGGTCAGATGAAAATGTGCACCTTCGGTTGGCCACCAGAACTCAAGCGCCGGCCATGGTGATGATGTGGGCCGCCATAACAGCCGATGGTCGCTCTCCGCTCGTATTAATCGACCGTGACATCAGAATAAATGCTTTTGACAGCCACACATGCGAACTGGTACCTGTTTCCCGAGTCTCTATAGTGCGGACTTAACACTTATTTCTTGTATGCTATTACAATATAAAAAAATGTTTTTTTATAACAATTTCTAAATATGTTATGAAATTTGTCTTGTTTTATTATTATTTTTTTTTTGTAGCTGTTTGACTTTTAATTTAAGATTATTAATCTGCCCTATTACGGTTGTCGACGTCGTCGCAAAATGAAGTCGAGGCGACAATAATGGTATTGGGGTTGTCGTTTTTTGTCGTTCATTGTCGATGTGAAGTCGTTTTTACAGCATTATCTGTCCGTAAGAAATTGTGACGACGTTGTATTTTTTAGTCGACGTTGATATTGTTACGAATATAACTCTAGATTTAAGTTAATTTAGATGAATTCCGTTAATTTAAGAATTTGAATTGTAACGTAAATTTCTACTACGCAGTTTATTTGAATAACTTCACAACAACAACTACTGTATAGATTTTTCTACATCCTTCCATTTCCTCTTTCATTTTCTATTTTGTTGCTGACGTACAATTCTTGTTAAACGTCATCATTGATGATCGCTTAATTCCTCTTTCTTTGTTACCCCCTCGCCTGTGTATGTGTTGTTGTTATTGTTCACTCAATGTAAGTTTGTATGTGTTGTTGTTATTGTTCACTCAATGTAAGTTTGTATGTGTTCGTTGCATTGGTAGATTGTTCGTAATCTAGGCGTTACCAGATCGTCTAGAAACTTCTGTAGCGACAGGCGAGGCTCATATAAATAGGGGAAATGGAAAGGCAGTTAGTCAGTTGTGAATCAGATCGCGAATTGAAACCGTCGAGTAAAGTAAAGTGCCAAGTAAAGTTGTGTGAATAAAATCATTGTAATAATCGTAATCCGAAAGAACCCGCGTTTTATTTGGTACGAGCTGTATTGGGAAATAAAACGACGTCTACACGGGATTAAGTAAAATCCAAGAACGTAACAATTGGTGTCGGAAGTGAGATTACGATAATACTACGATGAAGTTTAAGGATCTACGAGTGGAAGACTTGAAGAAGGAACTTAATAAATTGGAATTGTCCTCTACTGGCAACAAGGCTGAACTACAAAGACGTCTGTTGGATGAGTTCGAGCGCCGTGGTATGAACATCGATACATATGAGTTTGACAGTAAGGATGAAGTGGATTTATCGGAAATGGGCGAATCCAACGGTGGGGAAGTCTCGTCAGTAGCTGCCAGGGGTGACGATTTTAGAGAAATGCTAGCCAAAATGTTTGAGGAAAATTTCACAAGGTTCGAAGAAAATTCAAGAATAACGAACGAGAAACTCGAGTACATTGCAGAAGTTATTGGAAGGAGAGTGGAAACCGTGGAGGTCCAAATTAAAGAGTTGGATAAGAAAGTGCAGTCGGTTGACGAGAAATTTCTGTCCCACGACCATAGGGTTACAAATCTGGAGAAGAAAATTTCGGAACTGGAAATCAAAGGTGGTCCGGTGCGAGTTCCTGATAACACACTAAAAATCAAACCTCCTGTATTCGACGGCTCTACGTCATTCAATGTTTTCAAGTTACAGTTCGAGACAGTGGCTTCTAGAAATTCGTGGAACGACAGCGACAAAGCGGTTGCACTACTTCTGGCATTGAAGGGCAGTGCTGCTGATGTTATACAGAGTATTCCTGTCGCTTCTAGAAACAACTATGAAGATGTTATTGCTGTACTGGAACGTAAGTACGGTGGCGAACATAAACGAAACATCTACCTTATGGAATTAAGGGGAAGAGTACAGAGGGCAAACGAGACGTTACAAGACTTTGCAGCTGAGGTGGAACGTTTGGTGCTAATGACGTATCCAGGAGAGGATCACCCATTGCTGGACCGTATGAAAATCGAAACCTTTGTGAATGGCATACGTGACCCTGAG